ACTGTAAGTTACAGATGCAATGTAAGTTTGGAGTAGATAGCAGGCACAATCCTGACTTTCAAAGATTCAAGAATCCATTTGTATCACAGGTGCTCAATTGTCCTGCACAGAGCAACCCCCTCACTATATTTTCTACCCTCCCACCTATTCCTTCTTACGTAAATTGCTTGTAAATTCTAGAAGTGGATTGCTGCGGAGTCCAGGCTTGTTCATGTCAATAAACCTTGGGGAAAATCTTCGTGTGTGATACTACACATGGGTCTTTGTTGATCAAGAGCCTTCTTTATTGGCCTTTTGTTTTGTTTTGTTTTATTTTGTTTTGAGATGAAGTTTCACTCTTGTTGCCTAGGCTGGAGTGCAATGGCACGATCTTGGCTCACCATAACCTCTGCCTCCTGGGTTCAAGCGATTCTCCTGTCTCAGCCTCTTGAGTAGCTGGGATTACAGGCATGTGCCACCATGCCCAGCTAATTTTGTATTTTTAGTAGAGACAGGGTTTCTCCATGTTGGTCAGGCTGGTCTTGAACTCCTGACCTCAGGTGATCTGCCCACCTTGGCATCCCAAAGTTCTGGGATTACAGGTGTGAGCCACCGTGCCCACCCTTTTGGCCAGTTTTAATGACTTGTTATCCAGATGAATCTTCTGCAACACTGTATCTTGGTGGAATTTTATCAGTTCCATCATCTATTCAAACACATTTAAGTACCTCCTATGTGTCAGGTGAGAGAGGGGTGAACCCCGATTACAAAGTCCTTGCCTATGAAGAACTGACTTTCTAGCAGAGGAAGTCACTGATAGACAAGTAAGTGAAGTCTCGCAAATTCAGATAGGTGTGAATCTGTTATCTCACTCTCCACACTTGGCTGTCTCCTGCTTAATCTTTCTTGGATCAGATTATCTTTGTGGCGTTTTTCTCTTGATTGTCTAGCTCAGAGCTGAGCCGCTTCTGGTCGTCAGATTCCTCTGCCTGTGTTTGTGCATGGCCTTGGCCGGAATGGGAAACTTTGCTTCTCCCAGGCTTCTGCTCATCTGTCACCTCCTCCTACTCTGTGCCATCATAATTGAGCAGGCACACGTTACAATGTCCTTTCTGTGAGCACATCTGTTATTCCTACCTGACTCTGAACATTTTAAGGAGAGGATCTGTGTCTGATTTATCTGTATATCCCCAGGGCCTAGCATGGAGTCTTATGAAAGTAGACGCTTAGTATATTTGCTCAAATAAATGTTGAGTCCTAAAGAACCTAAGCGTGGGTGGTGTGGTAAAGGAATTCCATCGTGGGGACGGATGCTGAGTCAGACAGCGGATGCTCCACTCCAGTGGTTTTGTGATTTATTCTTTGAAACATTGAGCACTGTCATGAATAGAGGAGATGGGCCGGGATGTAGGCACTAATGCCAGAGACAGGTGGCATGGAACAGTCTGGCGAGAGCCTTTGAAGGAAAGTTAGAAGTGTGAGGTTCTGAGGTCCTAGTTCAGAGCTGGAAGGAATTCTAAGGATGCCAGGTTTTGTAGCCAATGCCCAACTGAGGCCAGGGAAGCTCTGTAACCTGGTTCTGATAGCTGGTTAGTTGCAAAGGAGCAGGGGGCAGGCGATACCAGAACTCCTAGTTTAGGGGGCTTTCCACTCTGCTGGGGCTGTGGTGTGTGACAGGTAAGGGATTAAAAGCACAGAGAGGAGAAGTAACTTACCTAAGATCACACAGCTAGGAAGTGGTGGAGCGTGGATTCAGATGTGGATCTGTCGGATGAGAGGCAGCTTATAACCACCAAGCTATATTGTCTCTTCTTGGAGATTGTGAAATGCAAGATCTTAGCCCATTTTCAGGTTTCCTCTTTGGTTAGCAATGAGTCAGTATAGGAAAATAATATTAACATGCTTTCTTTCTTTTGACATACAATTATGTGTTTTCAGAAAAATGTTTACATTCTTCAAATATTAATATAGAAGTCACTGGGTTGTTTATTGTGTGTATGTATATATAAATACAATGAAGAACGTTCCATTTTTCTCTACCACTAAATTTAAACACTCCATTTCTATTGTACTCCATTTAGAAGAAATATTTTACACCATACTATAATGAATGAAAACCTAGTCTTTTAATTGCACAAGCCCCAGCTTATAGTCGATGAATTTAATTAGAAAATCTTTACCTATGTAGATTTCACATCCAGTTCCAACATTGTTGATATATGGACTAGAAAGTAGCTATATTATTATTTTAGAAATGATTCTTTCCAGATACAGGAAAGCTGAATAGCTTGTCTGAGTTTCAAAATGAGTTAATAGAGGAACCCAAAATAGAAACATTTCTACTGAATATGAAGCTTCCTAAAATTCTTAACACAGGCACTATCTGCATTCGCTTCATAGTTTTAAGTCTGGACTCTGGAGCATCAGCCTGTTTTAACACGTAGAAATGCTTCTGTTGGTGGGAGGGGTGGCCGGGCATAGGCGGAGGGAGGCCTGACACCTTTGTTTCTAGGTCGTTTCTAACGTTGCTATTATAACACAGTCTTCTAGGCAGAAGAGAATATGCTCATTAAAGTGGAAGTGTTCCTTTTAAAATAAAGCAACAGAAACCCAAAAGGTCTCTATTACATGGATAAATGAGTATATAATTGTTATTTCATGCTCTGTCATATTCTGTATTAACGCAAAGGAGTAGGCAACTAAGTAGTTTAAAAATAAAACAGTGTGGTGTTCATTTAATTTTAAAAGCCATTGATCAGATGATAATCAGTGCTTCCATGTAGCACTATATTCATAGAAATCCTCATATTATAGTGGATAGAGATACTATTATAGAATGATGCTCTTTACCTCTTTATGTAATCTAATTTTAAGATACATTGTAATTCATAAATAGTGAGGAAAGCATGTAGTGTGATTCAAATGGGATATTTTGGGTAAATTCTTAGGGTAAATTACAAATTCCTATCTCTCTCGCATTTTCCACCCAAATTTGTTTTTATGGAATGACCTTTGATAGCAGCTTATTTTATAATAAAATGTTTTCCCAAGTTTTTATTTTAAATTGAAATGGCCTTTTCTGTCATGTATGATATTTATAAGAGTTTCTTTGATGAAAAGCCTCTGAATTTTGTGCAAATAACCCAGGCAGCCTCTTTTTTTTTTTAATTTATTTTATTGCATTTTACGTTTTGGGGCGCTTGTGAAGAACATGCAAGATTGTTGCATAGGTACACACGTGGCAGTGTGATTTGCTGCCTTCCTCCCCTTCACCTATATCTGGCATTTCTCCCCTTGCTCGCTCTCCCCAACTCCCCACCCCCCACCGTCCCTCCCCTATTTCCCCCCAACAGACCCCAGTGTGTAGTGCTCCCCTCCCTGTGTCCATGTGTCCTCATTGTTCAACACCCGCCAATGAGTGAGAACATGCGGTGTTTGATCTTCTGCTCTTGTGTCAGTTTGTTGAGAATGATGGTTTCCAGGTTCATCCATGTCCCTACAAAGGACACAAATTCATTGCTTTTTATGGCTGCATAATATTCCATGGTGTATATGAGGCAGCCTCTTATATTAGGGAAAACATTTGTATAGGACTTTTATGGCTTAGTACTCTACTCTCACACTCAGCTTATTTGACTCTTACCTGTGAGGAAGTTGGTGGAATTCATGTTTTACTGCTGAGAGCAATGTAGAGGAAGGTGCCTTGGCATGACTCAGAGCATATAGCAGGCATTCGATATGTTTGTTTTAACAGGAAATTAACAAACCCAATAGATTCTTGTACTTGCTCAAGGTCACACAACAAATGCAGTGTCACATCAAGGACTGAACTTCCTTCTTCACTCAAAAATTCCATATGCTTGTTCTTATCTTACTGTTATCTTTTCAGGCTTTTTAAAAAGGCCAAATTAACTATATTTTTTTCTTAATTGAGGTGCAATTCACATAACCTAAAATTAGCCATCTTAAAGTGTATAATTCAGTGGCATTTCATGCTTTCATAGTGTTCTGCAGCCATCACCTCTCTCGAGGGCCCTGAAGGAGACTCTGGATCCATTAAGCAGTCACCCATTCTATCCTCCCTGCAGCTACTGGCAACTGCCAATCTGTTTTCTGACTCTGTGGGTTTACCTATTCTGGATATTTCCTACAAATAGACTCAACATGTGACATTTTGCGTCTGGCTTTTTTCACCCTTAGCATGTTTTCACTTAGCATGTTTTCCAGATTTATCCACATTGTAGCATGTGTCAGTACTTTATTCCTTTTTACGGCTGAATAATACCCCATCGTAGGGCTGTACACATTGTATTTATCCAGTCATCCACTGACGAACATTTGGGTTGTTTCCACCTTTTAGCTATTGTGAATAGTGCTGCTGTGAACATTTTTGCACAAGTATTTGATATTTGCTTTCAGTTATTTTACGTATGTACTGAGGAGTGGAATTGGTAGATCATATGGTAATTCTATGTTCAACGTTTTCTGAGGAGCCACAAGGCGGTTTTCAATAGTGACTGTATCATTTTGCATTCCTACCAACAATGTATGAGGATTCTGATTTCCCCATATCCTTGCCAAGACTTAATTGAGTGTTTTTTGTTTAATTATAATTATCTTAATGGGTATGAAGTGGTATCTCCTTGTGGTCTAGACTTTGATTTCCTTAATAAAATATTCATATTTTACTGCATAGAATTAATCAGAAAATGAGCTTTGGCAAGGTGAACTCAACAGCAAAATGATTGGCTTCATGCGTTTTCAGGAGATTAAGACTGCCGTATATTTACTCCTGGAGTGTGCGATTCCGAGCTGAAAATCCATAACATGTTGTTTGGGGATTAGAAGAATATTTGTGGATAGTAAGACTATAATCATCCTCTAAATTTGAAAAAATATATCGTGTAATGTCATGTTTTGTTTTCATGGCTTCTGTCAACAGTTACTTAATTCTTTGCATTTCAAAGCCCTCTTTATATAATTCCTTCATGACTTAATGATCTATTCATTTATTTTTGCAGTGTGAGTGAAGACACTCAGGATGGCTCAGGGATCCGGGGATCAAAGAGCAGTGGGGATTGCTGACCCAGAGGAGAGTTCTCCTAACATGATTGTCTACTGCAAAGTAAGGCATCTGGTCAAGCTCTGTGCGTGCTGCCCCTGTGGACTGTTGTGTTCTGTGTCTGTTCTGTGCAAGACAAATGTTTTCTGCCTAAACTGCCTTACTGATAAATGAATATTTTCTTCTCACATCCTCTGGTTCTCTAGTTCTAAAATTCAAGTAAGTTCATACTTGAGCACTTGGTATTTAACACTTGAAAAATATTATGCCATTTAGTTTTCTTTAAACCCAAAGGTTGCCTAAGCTATGCAGATGGGGAAGACACTTTCTTCTTCAGTGGAAAGTCCTTGGTGTAAGATGTATGAACTGAAAGTTCTTCAGACTTGTAGTATGTACAAAATCTGGGCTGAATGCTGTGGGAGATAACAGAGGTATATTTGTATGAGATGCTTATAGTTGGTAGGAGACATAGGATGTACACAAGTAACTGTTATAGAGTCTAAATGTTAATTTCCAAAATAGACATGCAAGTAGTGTTATATAATTTTAGAGGAGGAGGCCAGTTCTTCTCCCAGCCTCAGAGGTGAGAATGGGCTTGTGGAAGAGTGGTCGTTGAACTCAGTTTTAAAATCTGTGCAGGATTGCTTTATGTGGAAAGCAGAGAGGAAGAACATACAAGGTGATGAGATGTTTCAGCAAGGGCACAGAGCTGGGGAAAGTAACAGCAACAGGAACTGGTTAGCTTGGGCATAGGATACATTATAAGGAGTAAATGAAGGTAGGATTTTGGGAAGAGTGGCTGGCTGGAGCCAGATGTTATGTAGGCAATTTAATTATGAAAAACTTGTGTGCCAAGAGTTGTAAGAGCAACATCTCTTTGGGACTATGAATCTTGCCCCAGTGTATTGAATGATGGTTGTCAAGATAGAGCAGAGGCTCTCGGAGAGAGATTTCTGTGTCTGTGTGAAAGATAGAGAGGGAAAGGAGAGACACTAATATAGGCTATGAAATCACCTGCAGAATTGAGAGGAACTAACAGGAGGAATTAAAAAGTCTGGATTAAAAATGACTTGGAAACTGAGTGAATATAGGGCGGCAAGTAGAGGGTCAAAGGTGACTGGGTTTTTGACCTTGGGTGAATGAAAATCATTGGTTCTATTAATTTGAAATGGAATATTTGGAAAAAGAATACATTTTAAAGGAAGAAAATATGGCACATAGTTTATTTTAGTATATGCTGAATTTGAGGACAAAATTGCTTCTTATTATAAACGTTTTTAATGTTTGCATGTTTGTGAAAATTTAACCTATTGTATGTTAATAAGGAAATAAGTTAATGTTCATTTATTTCACTAACTACTTGAGTTTCTGCTCACTTCAGTGCATTCTGAGAGGCTCTGTGTGCAGTCTACGTTACTTATGTGGGCAATGTGGAAATAGATATTCCTGGATGATCAATATGGTGAATTTTTCTCTTTTCCTTATAAAAATAGAGTTCTCAAATTATTCTTGCTTTGAGTGTAAAATTCTGTAATTCTTTGCTTTGCAAGAGTATACTTAGATAATCCATCTCTAAGAATGATGCTCGTTAAATTGCGGTAAAGAAAAAAATAGATTAATGGGGCTGAGCAATTAGTGAAGCATACTGAATAATAGAAGGACATTGAGTCATTGTTACTTTCTTAACCCATCCCCAAACTGGGAGACCCCATGCCAGGCTGGTAGGAGCATGGGCTTTGGAGTGAGATTTAGGTTAAAATTCCAACTTGACCACTCTTTAGCAGTGTGACTGTAAAGTTAGCCCGTTAACTTCCATGAGCCTCAATTTTTTCATCAGTAAAAAGAAGAAAAAATGTGGGAGGAAGGTAATTGTGAAGATCAATTTAGATAAATCGAGTGAGGCATCTTATATCCTACTTGGACCACAATGCGGTCCATAATGAATGTCTCTTTTTCTTTACATGTTTAGGTCTTGTAGAGACAGTGAAACTTGGAGAGAAAATAAATTATAAAATTTCTAAATGTTGGTGCTGGTAATCAGTTGTCTAGAGCAAATTTATACAGTGAGTTTTTTTTTTTTTTTTTAAGACACAGGAAAACAATAAAAATGTTTTTATATGCTTCAGGGGATTGCAAATTCATGAATTATTAAAGAATAAGAAATGCAAAGATCATGTAATCCAACCACCTTTCTACTAGAATGTTTGTATTATGTTTACGGGAAGAAAACTTCCTGCAGGTTTATGAGAACTTGGTTTTTACTTTTTGGGTGGTAGTGAGGGACACTTTTCTGGTTTAATTTAGTAACAAACATGTCAGTTGCTGTAGTTCTTTAGAGAAATGACAATTAGTAATGAAACTATGTCTTTCATGTGACAATCTTGTTTAGATAGTGTATTTTATTAGCTATATTAATTAATATGTTTATTTGCTATATTAATTAATTACCATAAAAGGGACATTGAGTTGGTTCAGTCTGTTAGAAAGAAGACACGCTTATGCTGTGACACCATTTTAAACCTAGTTAACCTGACTTCTTAAACCGTGGTTGTACTTGAACCAGGGGATTTTCATGTAGTTTTCTACTCCTGATGCTGTAGGCTACCCTTTGGCTACAACCAAGAACTTACCTGCTGTTGGATATTATCCTCAAGATATCATCAGTAAAGGTGGGATTTTGAAGCCAAGGACAATTCAAAGCATTTTCTGCGGAAGTCCTTTTGTGTAATCATTTATTCAAAGTTGTAGCCATAAACCCAAACCTTTCCTTAGATACCTACAACTAAAATTTACATTTAAAAAATTGTGCTTTCATTTTTGTTTTCATTCTCTTTTTTGTTGTTGCTGTTTTTTTTCCTCTTGTTGTCAGACACTTTCAGTGTGAAATTTCTGCTTGGACTGCGTTATGTTGATTCAGTTGCTGACATTTAAAAAGCCAAATCTAGAGAAATGAAGCTTTTGGGTAAACTTTCGAGTAATAAGTGGATGATTATGTCCATAATGTTGTTGTGACTTTTAAATGACATTTAGAATGGTAACCTCTTGACCTACAAGTGTTGATGGGTTGGTTTTTAAAGCCCACACTTTTCAGAACACTCTTCATTTCCTTTTCATGTTTTCATGTCATTAACTGTGAGAAGTTGTACTTTCCCAAGGCATGACTTATTGACTTGAACAGACTTTCTAATTTAGTTTTTCATCCTTCATATTCACAGTTTGGATTGGAGGTGTGTATGAAAAATGTATTGGTCACATTAAAGATCTATTTAAAAGAAAACCTTAATTATTCATGAAGACACCCAGACCTGTTAACCTTTTCTATATTCCTGTATCCTTAGGACCCTGAGTTATTGAATTGTCCAACATAATGATGATATTTGAACCTAGCTATATATCACATTATTTAGGGTGCTTTATAAAAAATGTTCATTCTCAAAGGACCCCCTCCACAAGGTATTTCTATTTACTAGGTCGGAGCTGGGTCTTAGGAATCTGGGTTTCAAGATGTTCTCAGGAGAATTTGACGCCCACCTAAGTGTGAAAAGCACTTACTTAGTCTTTTACAATATCCAGGCACAGTATGTGTTGCAAGGTAATGAGAGAGTTGGTGTTTTGAATTAGATTGTTGATTTCAGAATTATTTGTGGCTCTCTCAAGACATAGAAGAACCAAGCTCTTGTCATAGGGATTTTAGTAGCCTTTCCTTAGAGATCTTCTAGTCTTATTTTGTAGGTGAAAGAACTAAAAGTATAGAGAGGGTGAGTAAGTTGATTACGGTTACTCAGCACTTTCCCATGGAAGCCATGGTAATGTCCAGGGAGCCTGGCCACCCCAGGCAGTGGCCTTTCTAACACCCTATGTTACCACTATGTTATCAACCATGGACTACTGTTACCACATTGTTGGAGCCGAGTAGCCAGGGGAATGATGAAAATAAGATGTCGGAGATCTTTATCTTTCATGCTTTTCCTGGGAAAGCTGACTTCGATTCACGTCTCACATTTTTAATGCTGAAGTTTCATTGTACTCTTTGGTGCTTTTGCTTCTGGGGTAAAGGTGTTCTAAAATGTTTACCCTCTTTTATAACTAAGATTGCTTCTGAGTAAGAGTAGGTTGCTTTCGGATTTTGTTTGGATCTTTGAGTAGTGTTAACAATGCCTCTTGACAGAGTTCCCCCAACTAGACTAGTGATTTGATTTGTTTGGGTCAGGAGCCATGGAAGATGTCACACGGGGAGCTGGAGGTTCTGCCTGTCTGGTCCCAGCTCTGTGTGGAGAACTTCATGTTCCTGATTCTACTACTTGTTTTACTTTCTATTTTCTTCCTTCCTTTCCTCCTTCCTTCTCAATTATGAAATACTTCTAACACAAAAAGAATACATTCAGTGCCCATGTAAGGTAGAAAGAAGAATTAAAAAATGAATTCTATGCACCCACCATTAGCTTAATAAATATAATACTTTGGCTTCATTTCCTCTTCAATAAAGGGAGGAAATTGGTCTAAAAATGTGCAAATACCTTTCTGCAATGATTTCAAAGTTCCATTTTATAATTTTTGATCTTTCATAAGATAATACACTTCCTTAATAGCAAAACAATGTTGTGAGACTATGTGCATATTTAAAGGTCTTTTGAATTTTGGAGTAAATATTTTAGATAGTTGTAGATAATCTAAATTGGATTGAGATAAAACCCAATTAAGTCAGTCTTTAGAAGAAAAAGCTTTAATATCAATGATTTAATATTCAGTGAAAGCTAGATGACATCTTCTTTGTGGCAACCTGTTTCTTTGGCTTGCTAATAACATTTAAGATATTTATAAAATTATTATTTGTAGTACTCTAATTATATGTTATATACATAACAGAAGTGGTGTTTAAGTAGCAACACTGTACATTGCCAGTAGTATATAGTGTCATAGATGAAATAGGAATTTTAGAAGAAGACAAAGAAAATCAATGTTCTTGTATATCAAAGGCCTTGCCATCGATGGCTTCCTATACCCATTCATTTCTGGTTATTGATTCCTTTTCTGCTGGAATTTGAGTCTAGCCTTTGTGTTGC